GAACCCGCGGGCTCATGCAATCCACTCACCTCAGCCTCCCAAAGTGCTGGGATTACAGGCCGAGCCACCGAGCCCGGCTACTGTTTTTATTTTCTAGGTTATTTTGGCAAGAGGAAAACTGGTCCAATTTGGAGAAGTTTTCTGGAGGGGGGTGAGAATGAAAGAAGAGAGAAATTTTTTTTTTTTTTGAAAGCACGATTTATTGAGAGGACAAAAAAGCTTCCACAGTGGGAGAGGAGGTTGCCTGAGAAATCATTTTAAAGGAGAGAATTAGAAAAGATGTTGTATTTGAAGGTTGGCTATAGAAAGAAATCAAATGGTATGAGAGAAGCAGAAACAGATTTTTTTTTAGCTAGATTGGATGGACTGATCAGTAAAAAAAAAAAAGGATATTTCACAGTCTTTTTTTTTTTTTTTTGAGTTGGAGTCTCGCTCTGTCGCCTAGGCTGGAGTGCAGTGGCATGCTCCCGGCCACTGTGTCCCTGACCTGCTCGGCTCAGGTGATCCTTCCAAGTAGCCAGAACTACAGGCGTGCGCTACCATGCCCGGCTAATTTTCTGATTTATCGTAGAGACAAGGTCTCATCGAGTTGTCCAGGCTGTACTCAGGCAATCCTCTTGCTTCGGCCTTCCAAAGTGCTGGGATTACAGGTGTGAGCCACTGTGCCTGGCGAATACTACATTTTAAAACATCACCTTTTCTCCAAGAGGCAAATATGTTGTTGGAGTGGGAACCAGTCTAATCCTGTACTGTTTTTTTTTTTTTTTCTGATCCTGGCTTCTCATTACGAATTTCTGTGTATTTGATAGATGTGAAAAAGACAGCATGAACTTTACCCCGACGCACACCCCCATCTGCAGAAAGTAAGACATTTGCTTATTTTTTGAGTTAAGATAAGGAATCAACTTCCATAGCCTTAGTCCAAGTTAACATAGGGAGTCGAGGGTTTGGGAAACATACTTCCTAAGTCTTGATCTAAGCTACATTATATCTTGTTTCTCTATTTGTATTATGTAGAATTCAGATTTCTTTTTTTTGAGTTGGCGTCTCCCTCTGTCACCCAGACTGGAGTGCAGTGGCTTGGCCACCACAGCCTCGACCTGCTGGGCTCCGGTGATCCTTCCGCCTCAGCCTTCCAAGTAGCTGGAACTACAGGCGCACGCTACCACACCTGGCTAATTTTTGATTTATTGCAGAGATGAGGTCTCGCTGCCCAGGCGGGTCTCGAACCCGCGGGCTCAGGCAATCCACTCACCTCAGCCTCCCAAAGGCGCGGGATTACAGGCTGAGCCACCGAGTCCGGCTAGAAGATAATTTATAAAAGTATTCACTAACCTTGTAACATCGGACTTTTAAGATTTATGAGCACCTTAGATATAAACATTTCAAAACATAATCCCCCTTTTTGTTTAAAAAATTATAATGTTTCGTAAATTTCACAGAATTTAATGACTACATCCTTTCTAGTTTCTCATAGGCTAACACTTTCTTTTAAACATAGTGTTGGCTCCAGTGTCAGTGGTCCCACGAAGAGAAGGGGAATGGCAGACTCCCTGGAGTCAACTCCTTTGCCTTCTGTCGAAGATCGTCTGGCTGTCCTCTGCCCTTCTCGGGAGCTTCTGGAATATTATCAAAGGAAGATGGCTGAGTGTGAGGCAGAAAATGAAGACCTGTTGAAGAAACTGGAACTCTACAAAGAAGCTTGTGAAGGACAGGTAAAAAAGAGTTATGGGTCGGCCGTGGTGGCTTAAGCCTGTATTCCCAGCACTTTGGGAGGCTGAAGCGAGAGGATTCCCAGGATTTCAAGACCAGTCTTGGCAACAGCCAGACCTTGTCTCTACAAAAATATTTAAAAACTAGCTGGGGCATGATGGTACACGCCTGTAGTCCCAGCAACTCAGGAGGCTGAGGTGGAAGAATCACCTGAGCCCAAGAGGTCAAGGCTGTGCCACTGCACTCCAGCCTGGGTGACAATGAGATCCTGACCCCCCCCCCCAAAAAGAGGGCTAATGCATGACCTTTAGGACTCTGATTATCTGATTAAGTCTGCTCATTAATTAGAGAAGTTCTGGAGTTACCAGCTTCTTCACAAGCAAGTATTTTATAAGCAGTATTCTTTTCAGGCTAGGCACAGCGGTTCATGCCTATAATCTCAGCAATTTGGGAGACTGAGATGGGAGGGTCGCTTGAGGGCTTGAGGCTGGGAGTTGAAGACCAGCCTGGACAACATAGCAAGAGTCCGTTTCTACCAAAACAGTAAAAATTCTTTTTTGATCCCCAGCCCGGCTACCTGCCCTTTGGTCCCCTTCTTGCATCATAACCCCAAAACCGCTCTACCTCTAAAGTCTTAATTCTGACATATACATCTCTCTCTTTTTTATTTAGAAAGCAGGATTTATTAGGAGGACAGAAAAGCTCCCACAGTTGGAGGGGACCCAAAGGGGTTGCCTTCCATCTCTCTCTCTTTTACTTCTAGTTCTTTCACCCACTTACACTTGACTACTCTTTTTTTTTTTTTTTTTTGAGTTGGAGTCTCACTGTCACCCAGACTGGAGTACAGTGGCCGCCCCCGGCCACCGCAGCCTCGACCTGCTGGGCTCCGGCGATTCTTCCGTCTCAGCCTTCCAAGTAGCTGGAACTACAGGTGTGCGCTACCACGCCCGGCTAATTTTTTTTTTTTGTTTATTGTAGAGATGAGGTCTCGCCAAGTTGCCCAGGCGGGTCTTGAACCCCTGGGCTTGGCAATCCTCTCACTTTCGCCTCCCCAAAATGCTGGAATTGCAGGCATGAGCCTCCTCACCTGGCCAGACTTTTCAGTTTTATAAATCCTGCATACAGTTCTGATATCATGACCTTCTCTATCTCCCAGGCTGGAGTGCAGTGGCACACTCATAGCCACCGTGGCTTCAACCTGCTGTGCTCAGGTGATCCTTCCACCTCAGCCTTTCAAGTAGCTGACACTCTAGGCTTGCACCAACATGCCTGCCTCATTTTTAATTTTTTATTTTTTTTATAGAGACAAAGTCTCGCTATGGACTGGTCTCGCACTCCTGGGCTCAAACAGTCCTCTTTCCTTGATCTCCCGAAGTGCTAGGACTATATACATGAGCCACCATACCCCGTCCCTATTGGAGGATTTATTTAAGTAAAATGTGCTTATTATATGGTTTTGTTGTTTCCCTGGTCATTTTGTTCAAGAAAGGGTTATATTGCATCCTTTATGAAATGTAAAAAGAAAATCTTGCCTGATGAAAACGCTACATTATGTATATTTTTGCCTGGCTAAGAGGTAGAAAAAGTATTTGCTTGTCTTTAAATTAGTGACAGCAGAGCTGGGCTCGGTGGCTCAGCCTGTAATCCTGCGCTTTGGGAGGCCGAGGTGAGTGGATTGCCTGAGCCCGCAGGTTCGACCCGCCTGGGCAACTTGGTGAGACCTCATCTCTACAATAAATCAAAAAATCAGTCAGGTGTGGTATCGCGTGCCTGTAGTTCCAGCTACTTGGAAGGCTGAGGCAGAAGGATCGTCGGAGCCCAGTAGTTCGAGGCTGCGGTGACCGAGAGTGGCCACTGCACTCCAGTCTGGGTGACAAGAGTGAGACTCCAACTCAAAAAAAAAAGAAAAGAAAAATATTAATAAATATTACAGGGGGCATCACCCCCAAGAAATCAGAAAAAATATATAAATAAATTACTGACAGCTGCTCTCACCAATGTAAGAATAAGTAAGAGTGAAACCTGAATTTTTGCATAAGATGCAAATATACACCTGTGCTTGAAGTTTGCTTTAAAAAGTTAATCCATTTTCTATTAACAGCTTAAGCAGTGCATTTTCTATGCACTGATAGTCAAATCACAAATATTTCATCATAAATTTAAATATATTTGTTTATATATATAGAACTAAAATCAAATCTAAAATTGACAAAAATAGACAAACATCCTTATGTAGTACCACTTAGTGAGTTTTGCCAAGGATCATCATGCTTACAAAAGCAAAAATCTTAAAGCAAAAATAATTAATTTGAAAATCAACCTATTCTTATGTTCAATAAAGTTAGATTTTCTTTTTAGAAAACCATAGAATTGTTTAAATCCCTATTATCCATGATAGCATTGTTACTCCAAGGATTGGAGTGGTATAGGCAGTGATTTCCAGAGCTTTTTTTTTCAGTTGGAGTCTCACTCTGTCACCCAGACTGGAGTGCAGTGGCCGCTCCCAGCCACTGCAGCTTCAACCTGCTGGGCTCCGG